AAAAATATTATTTTAAAAAATATATTATTTCTAGAAATTATATTATTTTAAATATATATTATTCAAAAAATATATTATTCAAAAATATATTATTTTTTAGAAAAATATATTATTCTTAAAAATATATTATTTAAAAAAATATATTATTTTTAAAAATATATTATTTTAAAAAATAATATATTATTTTAAAGATAATATATTACTTTAAAAACTAACATATTATTTTGAAGAAATTATTATAATAATAATTATTTTAAAAGATTAATGTTGTTTTTTTTTAAAAAAGTTTTTGAAGAAATTATTATAATAAGAATTATTAAAAAGATTATTTTAAACCTTTAATGAATTTATTTTTGAAATATTAAGTAATGATTTTGATTTTAATAAATTTAGGTCAGTTGCAACTAAGTTGCAACTATGACTTGCGGCCATTTTTGACGTAAGTCATATGTTGCAACTAAGGGTTGTTTTGCAACTGTGGTTGCAACTGCAACTGTGAGTTGCAGCAAAACAAACACATGCAACTGGTCAAATTGGACCTAGTTGCATGCAACTGGAGTTGCAACCACTCCAGTTGCAGCCTACCAAACAGCCCCTAAGTGCACACATAAAATTTGCATTAGGAGCATATAGCATAAGGTGGAATCTAATTGGTTGTGAGAATCCGTTGCCTTAGGAACATTAGAAGCGGGATTGAACACAAGGGTATACTGGAGAAACAGGGAAAAAAACTGCCTTTACTTTCATTTGTATTTAAACTAATAAAAAATTTAATTGGATGGATTAATTAGTGGATGGAGTCATGGACTGATGTAGGCAACTAATATGTTTCAAATGCTTTTCTTTTATAGTATCTAGTATTGAAGGAGTTATTTCAGAATTGATGAGATTCAGGTAATAATATATGAAAAACCCTAATTTTTGTGTATGCGCTGAAGTTGTTAATTCTATGATTGTTTTTGGTTTATGTGGAGGTTTGAGCTCACATGGTAGGCTGTGATTGGTTGCAGGAGCTGCGGGATCTGGTGGCGATGGCGGTGGTGAGAATCGGAGGAGTTGATGAAGATAAGGAAGGAGATTGTTGACTTCCACAAGAAGATGATGCTTCTTGAGAACTACAGTGCTCTCAATTATACCGGTAAGCTTTGTTGACTAGTGAATTTGTTGGTGAAATTTATCATAACAAGTACTTTTATTGACACCCATATTGGAACACTGTTATAATTCTATTTATTGATGGAGAATTTAGAGAGTTTAGAGCATCTATTTGAATCTTAACATGCGGAGACTTTTATCTAAAAAGCTTCAATTTTGGCGCACAATAATGTTAGTTAATGAAATGCGGGAAAACCTTTATCGGATAAATTTTAGAATGAAATCAACACATGGGATATCCTTCTGTCTGTAGTTTTGTTGAAGAATGGTGAAGTTTATTTGATTGATTCTAGAGCTCCTGCTTTGATGCTCATATCCATCATTTTGACCATTTGTCAACGAGGGGCTGACATATGTCCGCTGACTTTCTTATGAAACTAAGATTACAGCAAGTTGGTAAACTGTTCGACTATGAAAGCATTAGTTGTAAGACGAATCCAATAAAACAGAAGAGATTCCTCCTTTCTAATATTCTATCTTCGAATCCTATAGATCCTTGGTTGCATAGAAGTCCAATAAACTTGTGTAGGTCAATTACAGCTTTTCTTTTTGTGGGTCACACAGTGATACAATTTCCTGGATAACCCATGCAAACAGTCATTCCCTTCCAGTTTTCACAACCGAGGACAGGATTTAGTTTCTGATATTTCCTCAAAGAATCCATTACTTACTAAATAATAACTTCAAGATCAATGAGAGTGATGCTGTACTGTGGATTTGACTTAGCCGGTGATGTGCATGCTACACATGATATCAGCTGGTGATGCGCACACATAATGGAGTTTTTGTATATACCTGCTTAAACTCCTGTCTAGTCACCCTTAGCCAAAATATGTGACCATCTGTCAGTAAGGGACTGATCTAGGCAACATATGTGACCATCTATGTAGTCATGCATATGGACATATATAAATATCTTAATCATCAATGAAGATGTCCTGTGTTTCATTTTTAAAATCTGCCTTCACCTAGCTATGGGCATGGGTCCAACATTCTAATTAACCTGTTAACTAACTGGGAGCAAGTTGGTTAGGTAATTGATTATGATAGTAGTAGTTGTACGCTGAAAGCATAAAGAGACAACAAAAGGAGAAATTTCTCCGCTCTCGGTGGGTTTTTTTTTTGCTGAGTGTAGCATCCATGGGAAACCTTTTTACTAGTTTGGTGTTAAATTAGCATCAGAGGCTATGAGTTTGAGAAGCTAATGTATTTCAGTGCATCTACCTCGGGAACCTGTGAAGTTTATGAATCAGACAAGTTTGAATAATGTTTATCACTTTAATTTTTCAAGACTTGTTTTATGTTTTTGAAGGGGAGCCTTGGCAACAGTGAAAGTTGTCGCCATGTGACATGGAGGTCACGCGTTCGATTCGTGGAAACATCCTCTTGTACAAATGCAAGGTAAGGCTGCGTACAAGAGACCTAAAATGGTCCAACCCCTTCGTGGACCTGTGAATAGTGGATTGCAGGAGCTTCATACACCAGGCTTCCCTTTTCTTGCTTGTTCTCATCTTTTTCCATCTAGAGGAACTTGGAAGTTTTGTTGCACAATCTTTTGCTTGTGATGGAGTAGATTGTAAACCCAGAGTTAGTTGTGCATGTTAAAAGAATTCTCACCTCAGTCGTCTTATTCATTGGAAAAAGATGAAGGTTGGCTTAACCTGTTTTGCATTTTGAACTTGAATGCTCCTATTGACTTTCAAATATGTAACAATGAAAATATGTATAACACTGAAGTTCGAATTGATGGTTCTGCTTGTGACAGTTGTCCTTGATACAACAACACGGCTACGTGAGCATGATGCTTATTCATTATCTTTCCTTCACTTCCAGTTTCTACTCTTTGTTGTATGTCTTTATGGTTATGCTTATATTCTTCGTCTTTGAATAGGACTCGTAAAGATTCTTAAGAAATATGGCAAAAGAACTGGAGCACTCATCAGGCTGCCTTTCATCCGAAAAGTGCTCCGGCAGCCATTTTTTTGACAACCAATCTTCTATGCAAGCTCATTAAAGAATGCAAATCCATGCTCGACCTCCTCTTCCCGGAAAACCAACCTTCAAGCTCTTCCAAAGACAAAGAAGAAGATGAAAGCCCCAGTGGTGATGAGAATCCGTCTAAGTCATCAAGATCCTCTTAGGTGAGTGAAGAATTCCCAGAGATCTTGATGAGAGTGAGTACATGGTGAAAGCTTAGACATGAAGAGCAGAGTCTCAGCTTTAAGAGTTTTTTTAGAAGTGGCGGAACAACTTGCAAAGTAGACTTATGAAGATATGCTTCCCAATTGTTATCCAGTCTTGTGTATTTGATTCCAGCTAAGTTGTTCATATTACAGAGAGGATACTGATGCCAGTGTTTTCTTCTTCTTCTTCTTCTTCGTCTTTTTTCATTTAAAATTTTACGGTTATATCCCAAGTTCACATGTGTGGCATGATGTACGGTATCTATCATGCGCTTTTGATCTTTGAAATTTGAATGGTAGTTTGTCGGATTTCTTCAACGTTGAGGTTTGCTTTTGTTACATTACCTTCAGAAATTCATTTGCCCTGTTCTTCATGGCGATTTCATTAGCACAAGTCTATGGATGTCTTGTTGAATTTAGCATTTGCAGGATGTTTTGATTCACAGAAACCTGTTACCTATAATTGCAGTTGTGTTTTGGTAAAGGAATAGTTGATAGCAACCCACTTTGAATGAAACTTATAATTATCGTTAGGGTAAAGATTGTATACATTTAGGGTAAGAGGGATAATGAAGAGTATATTTTATATGCGACATCTTTACTTTTGAGTAGTCTTTTCAGTAGGGGTGCACTCGGTCCGGATACGGCTCGGATATGATGCTTACTATATCCATATTTGCTTACACATCTCGGATACAGATAGAGATATATCTTGGTAAGAAAAATTTATAACCATATCCGCTAAAATTGGATACGAGTATGGATATACATGCGTATATATGAGCGGATATGCATGCGGATACAAAACGAATATGAGAAAACTAGATAGTATGGAGAAAAACATAGTTCATGTGATACAAAAAGAGTTCGTTAATATGCTCATTATAATTGAAAAGTTAAGATTAGACATATTGATCATCAAAATTAATCACAAATTCATAATCTAAGAATCGAAACTATCGTAAGAATATGACTAATATGAATTCGGATATTTCGGATACGGATACAGATATTTCACTACAAAACCATATCCGTAATCATATCCTATCGGTTATAGATTTGAGTAATCATATCGGATACTGTTACAAATATTTCCTCGGATACGGATACGGATACGGATACGGTTTAGCATCCCTACTTCTCAGTTTGCAAACACTGAGGACAACTCCTTCTCCGGAGCTGAATGTGGCTTGTCTGCAGTATTTTTGTACAAAAGAAATTTTCGTTTCAATTAAGACATGATTTGTTCTTCTGAATAATTATTCCTGGAATTGAGTCGTACTACTACTAGTTGCTTTTAACGGAGAGAATATGGTAACTAATGCCTTCATTATTACGATTATTATTATTATTAATATTATTATTATTATTATCATTATTATTATTTAGGAACTTTAATATTTATTATGAAAGATTAATCTCTCTCCAAAGCGAAGGGTGAGCCGACCTGCCAGTTATACGATGTACCTTTGGATGAACAATTCTCCACATATTTCGGCCCATGGGCCATCTTCCATTTAGGCCCAAAAAACTGCCCGAACTAAATTTTAGAATATCTCTAGTTTAGTCCCACATCGACGAGAGCTCTAACGTTTAGAGTCTTTGCATAGCAACTTGCTCTCCCAGGGATCGTCTCTTCGGAGACATCCGATAAAATTGGAACGATACAGAGAAGATTAGCATGGCCCCTGCGCAAGGATGACACGCACAAATCGAGAAATGGTCCAAATTTTTTTTGCAATCTCGCCGGTGATTTTTCGACCCTCAAAACCCTAGAATCTTCAAATTTTTTCCCTCAAAAATCTACCCCATAATTTTGGGCAAGCATTACCTTTAATGGTTGAAATACTAATACTGTAAGCATTCTCTTCATGCTGTTTCTTTTTTAATTGTTGAATGCTTGACTTTATCCTGGTCCTAATAGTTTTTTTTTTGGGTTACTTGCTTCAAAATTTAAACCTCTTTGATGCTGAAAATGACGCCTCCACTCTAGGGGTGGCAATTTATGACCCAACCCATCAACCCGACCCGACCCGACCCGTTTATAATGGGTATGGGTCAAATTATATGGGTCGGGTCATAGATGGGTCAACCCGAACTTGACCCATTTATTAAATGGGTAAATTCGGGTACCCAAAACGACCCGTATAAAACAACATCTGACCCGTTTATACCTACCCACAAACCCAGAACCCCGTCGTCACTCGTCCCTTCGTCTCTGCCCTCGATTTTCCATCTCTCTCTCTCTCGAAAAGCGGCGGCAAGCGGAAAGCGGCGGCGAGCGACAAGAGGCGGCAAAAGAGGAAAGCGGCGGAAAGCGGCGGCGAGCGGCGGCGGAGCGACAAGGAGGTGGCAAACGGCGAGCAGCGGCGATTGAAGAGGTATCGACAGACGAGTTGATCATGTGGTTTCCCCTCTTCTCTCTCTCGAAGCTTCCCCTCTCGTCTCTGTAAGTTTCGCCGCCTCTCTCTGTTTCGCAGAGTTGATGCATTGGCTTTCATGTAAATGAATTTGATCATAGACATCTATTCCTCTTACTAGGGTTTCATTCATGGTCATTTATTAGTAAATTAGGGATTTTTTTTTATGTTATAGCTTAAAGGCAATTGTGTTGAGGCTCTTTTAAGATACATTTGAGTTGGGGATGAAGCATGCGCTATCTGATGTTGACTGATCTGGATCTTTCCGTCGCGCACTTTAATTTAGGAAACACATTTTTATCTCAATATAACTATTTCAGTAATATTTAGCTGAACTTGGAGGTGAACGCATTAATTATCATACTGATTATATGAACCAGAGGCAATTGATTTCCTCAGGTCCCCGTGATAGCTTGAATTCAGAACGCTAATGTTAGTTTGGTTTGTCTTCTCTTCATGGCTCATTTATTGCCCAATTTGTGATTATGCTGTTGAATTTTGGGAGTCTATGATCTAGTGATTCTAGTTGATGAGAAATAATAATAAGGTGTCTAATGTAGTTCTGTTTAGAATTTGGGGAGTCTCCTTATTATATTCTTCTCGCAATTCAGTTTAGAATCAGTTAATTTCTGATATATGTTTGAATTTTATTTAATTTTATGAATCTCATGTAGTTCTGTAATTTTTATCACAGTCAATGGAGTCTAATTTTTAGAATCAGTTAACTATCTATGTTCATGCCAAAATATATGAATAATAAAGGAGTGGTACACTGGTACCTGGCATTGTTTCCTCTGCTCTACTTTTTGTAGAATAGTCCTGACTTTTTTTTAGTAGCTTTCGCAGAGAGATCAAGCTTTAGGATTAATTTGCAAATTTTGAGACAGATCTTTGTCAAATTACTTTTTTTTCCTCGGTGTTATATTGGACTTTTGGGAAATTGCAGGCTGTGTTGAATGGCTTTTGTTAAAGCTCTCCATTCTCATTAGCGTATACATCTTTTGAGATTACGCGTCAGCATGCATTCTGAATTAGCTTTCTAAACTCTTTGTTAAATTCTTTGATTCTTGCTAATTGCACTTAAATACTATAAAATTCTCCTGTTTTGTCGGCTTATATACACAAATAGTCTTTGTGACAGAAAAAACAATAAGCTGTTAAAAATAGCATAATGGCGGTTCCTATTATTAGTTCTCAAAAGACATATCTTTTATCCAAATAGTCTTCTGCATCTGTCATAAGCTAAATAAGTTTAGACATAAGCCAGATTTCTGTTCTCTAGGAGCTAATGTTATTTCTTGACAAAATTTGATCCAGTGCCAACTTCTGAAAGCATGAATGCTATTAAATATTTATTTGATAGCATATGACTTTGGCAGTTCTAGCAATGTGTGTATTGTGGAGATAGGCTGGAGGCCTTGTAGTTGAATACTTGAATTAAAGGCTAAATCCCCACGTTTCATCTGTTATGTTTTCAAATGAATTATAGTGGCAGTACAGATATAATTCAACACTGACAATACTTGAAGAGTTTAAAATCTCCGAAGTAATATTTTCTCATGTTCTAATTCCTCTTCATATTTCTGTTTGATTCATCGGCCATTAAAGCATGCCAAATATGCCTAATTGAGGTGCATGTATTATTATCCACTAAAGATACGGTGGTATTCCTTCCTCCCATCTAACGTCAGTCTAATTTTGCAAAGGAAATTTTAAGTTACCAAATTTGTAATAAGGGTTCAGAGGTTCTCTCAAATGCAATGGACAAAGTAGTTTATAGATTTCTATGCACTGTATTTTTCTATTAGGCTTTAAATAGGATTGCATTCATAAGAACCAAGCATGCATATATTAAAGAGTGTGGCAGTGAAGATAGCTTAGCTTGTTAAGGAGGAAGATAGCAATAAACTCTTTGTTAAATTCTTTTAGCGTATCTTTTTTTATGTTTAGGAATTCGACTCGTTTGAAAGTCAAGAAATTATTAGTTCTCAAAAAACTCAATTAGAACTTTATTTGGATGAACCAAGACTTGACCGTGGTGCTCCACTCGACATTCTTTCATTTTGGAAGACTAATGAGCATAGATACCCCGAGCTCTCTCTATTGGCAAGGGACATAATGGCGGTTCCTATTTCTACGGTTGCTTCGGAGAGTACTTTCAGTGTAGGTGAGAGAATCCTTAACCAATACCGAAGCACTCTTAAGCCTAACAATGTGGAGGCTTTAGTTTGCACGCGTGATTGGTTATATGGTATCAAAGATAGACAATTACTAATGTTATATTTCAACTTTTTTTGATTATTTATTCGGATAATAGGTGAGGTTGGGTGTTCGTAATGTTGCTTTTGTGGATTAATATCAGTATCTTTGATCTGATGTGTATGACTATTGGATTTCCATTCATGTATTATTGGTTTTTTTTTAAGGTGATGTTTTTTAAGGTGAGGTTTTAACCTTTTGGATTCAAGAGGTGGGTTTCTCTAGTACGGATGTTTTGTACATGATACATTGTAAATTTTTTTGGGCTAAATTATCAAATTGGCATTTTGGCAGGAGTCTATTCAAATTATGGTAATTGTTCTTTCACAAGTGATATTATGGTATTAATATTGAGACTAATACCAATCTATTAAAATCCTGTTGCTTTTTTCTGTGTGCAGGCCACATTTGATTGCCTCATGAAGACTTATGGGTTCCTGGCACCAGACTGCAAAGAGTACATGAATATACTGCAAAGAGTTAAAGAAGAGAGGGAACTAAAATAAATGCGGAAAAGAAGGATAACTACATGCTATATTATTGTATAATGTCTACATATATTTTCCTTTACTGCTCTTCATTGCTTTTTGCGGTAGGAAACCCCCTTGACCAATATTTCCAGGTCCTTGTGAAGACATTTTTCCTTGCGACATGATTTGGGACCGTCCAGAGCCTTGAACAAATGATGTATTTTTGTTTGTCGATATTTGTAATTTGTTGAAGTACATTTAAATACTGAATACGTCTTTGAAATAACTCCATGTTGTGAGTAGTAATAGTTTTTGTCTAAAGAGCTTGCAAAAAGTGTTTTTTTGTGCTTGTATAAAATTTTTTATTAGTTATATGTGTTAGTATATGTCTTGCATTAGATAAACGGGTTATTCGGGTTATATGGGTCGGGTCGGGTAACCCGTTTAATAATCGGGTCGGATCACATTGACCCATTTATTAAACGGGTCGGGTCGGGTCACACTTATACGGGTCGGGTCAAATTTTATATGGGTCGGGTCGGGTCGGGTCGACCCGTTTGCCACCCCTACTCCACTCTTTGTTTAGCCTAAATTTTAAACTGCCTGTAGGTTCTATGTGATGACTGTCTTTAGTTACCGCATTAATTTCTATGATATCCAATTGTTGATTGCTCTTTGTAGAAAGAACCTCATTGCTGTTGCCAATCCCAAAAGAGTGAGCAATACCCAAGTTATGTGCAAATATTTTCACCCATGGTTCGAATATTTAAGCAAAACAGAGAGATTTTGGGGCTTTTCCTATTTAGTGACAAATTTTCAAAACCAACCCTTTTAGCATTTTATTTGCAAAAAACGACCTATTTTGAAAATAATTACAAAAACCGACCTGTTTTCAGCCCAGCGCTGAAAACAGGTCGGTTTTTGTAAAAAAGTCTCCGAAACATCACGGGAGTTCAACTCCCGTGAAGTTTATCGAGAAATTAAACTTCACGGGAGTTGAACTCCCGTGAAGATTAATTTGTGCTTAAAACTCCACGGGAGTTCAACTCCCGTGGAGTTACAGTCGAAAATTTCCAGCGAACCGATCACGGGAGTTCAACTCCCGTGAAGTTTATCGAGAAATTAAACTTCACGGGAGTTGAACTCCCGTGAAGCTTAATTTTGCTTAAAACTCCACGGGAGTTCAACTCCCGTGGAGTTACAGTCGAAAATTTCCAGCGAACCGATCTCGGTTCTTCGGGAATTTTTTGACTGCAACTTCACGGGAGTTCAACTCCCGTGAAGTTGCAGTCAAAAATTCCCGAAGATCCACTCTCTGGAAAGTTAAACTCCCGTGGAGTTTTGGCTCCCCTATATAACCGCGCGTGCCCAGCCCGACAGCCCAAAACCCTAACCCTTCGTTCCGCCCCTGTGCCGTCGCCACCGCAGCAAGGATCCGCCGCCGCCCTTGCCTCCGACCGCCGCCGCCGACGCCGACCCAGCCTCCGACCGTCGCCGCCGCCACAGCTCCGACTGCCGCCGCCGTCAGATCTCAGATCTGAGTCAAAAAATCCAAAAAAAAGGTAAATTCTTCCTAAAAAAATATACTCTCTAATTTTTGTATACTCTCACTATTTGATTGTGATTATATGTAAAAATCTAGATTTTAGAATTTAATTATGAATTATTTTTGAATTTTGTGAAGAAATCTGAAAATTAGAAGGGAAATTATCAATAAATGTGAAATTTAGTGTGAAAATTATCAATAAATATAAAAATTATCAATAAATGTGAAAATTAGAGGGGAAATTATTAAATGGGAAATTATCAATAATTTTGTGAAATTTGTGAAGAATTAGTGTGAAAATTATCAATAATTTTGTGAAATTAGAGGGGAAGTTATCAATAATTTCGAAAATTATTGTATTTAGATTTTAGAATTTAATTGTGAATTATTTACGAATTTTGTGAAGACGTATTAAATAATTTTGCGTATTTAGAGGTGAAATTATCAATTAATGTGGAAATTAGAGTTACTACCTAAATGTAAAAATTAGTAACAATCAATATTTATTTGGCTTTTCGTGTAATATTGATATTGAATTTTTCACTCTTCAGAGGTAACGATGAATGATCGAATTGTAATTCTCTGTTCTTATGATGGGAAGATTAATTACCTCGAGAATAATATGCCCGTTTATGAAGGAGGCACGACGAGACCGTTGTTCATAACAAAATCGTGTACTTTCGATGATTTGGTTAATGAATTACACAAACTTACATTAACTAACTCACGTGAGTATCACCTCAGTGTGGTTTGCAATTATCCTGTTGTGGAGAACAGAACAAGTGGCATTCAAATATCAAGTGACTACGATATGGGTCTCATTCATGTCTTACACGACGAGAAGCGTTCGGTCGAATTGTTCATTGAAAAACATCAGAGAGATTTGGGCAAATCGTTGAACTACGAAGGAATGTATTCCCGCATGTTGGAGGATCCTGAAGTTGATTCTGTAGGCTTTTTATCTCCTCAACAAGATGAATGTTGGACACAATCACAATACATGAGCGGTCCTTCGTTCGTGGGCACTTCGAATGCTTTCGATACTAACACGGGAATTCAAGAAGATAATGCAAGTGTTGAATCCGAGAATGATGAAGAGGAGGGATTACAAATTAATAGCATGACCTTGATAGATCGTGATGACGGGGAAAACCAACACATCGACGGGGCTTATGTTAATAATGAGTATGTCGGCTTAGAGGATCCGCCGCCCGATGAAGGGTAGAGAAGGGAATGAGGAGATACTGTTAATTGACCTCGGAAAAGCATAGTGGTGGAAGTGCAAAGATGAAGCTGTAGAAAGAAAAGCGAAGGAAAATGGAAGAGATATTTAAAATTTCCAGATGTTCACTGAAGTTGAAAATTTTCAAAAAGACAAGAGAAAATCAGAAACATGAGATTATGAAGTAAAGTTTGAAATAAGCAACCCTTATAAACTTATTGGATACTTAAATTTGTAAGTTGAAACCACTATGCAAGTCTAAATAGTAAACTCAACTTACCCTGAGGCGGGGTTTGACCATGAGCACCATTCTGCACAGCTCTCAGGGAGGCAGTGTTCGCAGATGTATCGGGGCCCAGGCTCACAGGAGTTACCCTTGGCTGCCCTCCTCCTTGTCCATTACCGGACTTCTTTAAACTGCACAAACCAGCAAAAAAAAAACTATAAATAAAGACAAAGCTTTAAGAGACCCCCTCTCATAGTTTCCTGTTCTAATGCATTAGCATAGTTCTCCAAATTTAATAAACTTAGACATGATAATCATTTGCCTCTTTAGTTCTAAGTCCACAACCAAAACTTAAAACAGAAAACTCTCAATTACTAACCTTGCCCGCCACCAAACTCCTCAGAAGTAGAAACTCTTCCTAAGAAGTATAGAACACGCTAATTTAAAATAAAAACTCAAACTCTGACAATTTGAAATTTCTTATTCTAAAATAGGAATCATCAATAACGATAGTTAATGACTCAAAAGATCCAAACTTTAAGAAGCCAACTTGCCCAAATTAGCAAAATAAAACAGAACACAAACTCACCTCCGATTACTTGATGACGAAGGCTGATTAGAAGAGGACGATAGATGATGGGGATGAGCGGCGCCACCGCTACCGCCGCCCTTCCCTGCACCGCCACCGCCGGAGAACCCTCTGCCGTGGCCGGATCGACCGCCGGATTTCCTCAGCTGGCCGTCGCTCTTCTCAAACCTAGATTGATTATGGGACATAAATACCTAACCTTTCCCCCTTCTCGCTTTTCTCTCTTCCAACCCTGAAGACAACAACGACAACAAAAATCACAGATCCAACATCAGCATCAATCCGCTGCAAACCCTAGAAATCAGCATTGAACAGTACCTCCCCCTATAACCGCCAACGAAGGCGATAATTTGGTGGGAAATATAGTTACCCGAGAGGAATCTAACAGATTAGGGTTTCGTTTATTTCCCCAATCACGCGGACTGGGAACGGCGATCAATCATCAACGACGAAGCGATGGATAGAGAGAGAAACAGAGTGATGAGAGAGGAACAAAATTAGGAGAGAGAATAGTTTTGAACTGGCTTTTATGGGAGAGAGAAAATTAGGGAAGTTAATTAACTTTAGGGGGTGTTTGGTTCAACATTGGGCAAGAATAAGATTAGGAATCGTATATTTTTTTATGGATTCCTAGCTAATCCATAAAAAATTTTAAGATAATTTTATGTTGTCATGGAATTCTTTTTTTTCTATGTTTATTTCATAACATGAAAAAATAGAAACCAACTTTATAGAAACCCTACAATTCATATTCTTTAGTTTGGTTTGGAATGAGAATATGATTTGATCTCATAATAATATTGGGTTTGTGAAAAAACAAAATCCGAAAAAAAGAGAGAGGAAAAATAATACAAATGCGTCGGCTTTCTGCTCCAAATCCGCCCAAATTATTAGATTTTGGATTTCTATAAAATGAACATACTTTTTCAACTTTATAGATTCCGAAATCTATAAATTTTTGGGGAACCAAACTCAAGAATAGGATTCATAAAGAATTATTTATTTATAATTTTGCCATTGTCAGACCCAAATCCTATTCTTTTTCCATAAAAATGATGAAACAAACAGCCCCGAGAGAGGCGTGAGCGAGTGGGATCGGATTGGCGTGTAGGGGCATTTTGGGAAATATATGTTGAGGAGTAGGTGATCACTGTGGGCGGTCAAAACACCGCTTTCGGAGGTGCGTATGATCCCGACCGTTAGATTTTCTATCAACGAGTGAGATTTGCGTATCCTTTTTAACCCTGGGTAATTTAGCGCATGATGACGCGATGATTATCATTCTATTGCGATCTTCATGCATTGGCTAAACACTGTTAATGTAAAAAATTCTGGTTGAATTTCCTTCTAAGGGTCTGTTTCGTTTATTTCCTAAAAACCAAGAAATGGAAATGAAAATGTGGAAATCTCAAAAAATGTAATTTCATCCATTTTCATCCCTAAAACTCACTCATAACATTCAATAAAATATTATTTTTATCCAATAACTCATTCACAACATCTAATAAAATATTATTTTCATCCACAACATCACTTAACTCATATCATCTCATCATTTCAAATCACTCACATCATCCTATAAGATGGTGACAACTCATCTCATCTCATTAACATTTCATTTCCACCCATTTCCTCACAAAAAGTTAGGAAAACGATTTCCTTAAGTGTGGGTCACATCATTCAATAATATAATGACAACTCATCACATCTCATCTATTTTCTTATTTTTAAGAATGAACCAAACAAAAGAAAACAACCTATTACAGGAAATGGGTTTCTTATAATTCATTTCCTTATTTTTTTTCACCAACCAAACAACATCAAAATAAATTTTCCTAAAAAATCACTCACATCATCCAATAATAAGGTGACAACTAACATCATCTCATCTCCAGTTCTTTGATTTCCTTCTTTTTTTAGCCAACCAAACATTCTCAAAACAATTTTTCTTAGAAATAGTTTTCCATTTCTTTGATTTCCCTCTTTTTTTAGGCAAACAAACAGCCCCTAAAAAAACACCAACCCTGAAAAGCTATATATCGACTTTATTTGAACGTAAAAAAGACGCATAAAATTTACACGGCTAGGATTTTGATATAACTCTGACACTACACGATATTTATGATAAATAGTATATCATTACCTTGACGTTTTACTTTATCTATTTTGCATTGAATTAAGGCATGAATTACTAAGTCGTTTTTGGGAGAGTTTGATGACAGCTTGTCTTTTGTCCAAAAGTAATTCATTAGCTCTAATGATAACTAAACTTGAACTTTAAGAAGACAAAAACGAAATGAATTCCTTTGCTAACCCCTTATTCCAAGCTAAAAATAAACACAACCTCAGTAGTCTTTTCGTCACTTTGGGAATATCGAAATAGCTGGATTGTTCTTAATTAAACAAGAACAAGAAGCGTTTGATAGCAACGTAAAAGATACTAAGTATTTGATTGTCTTGAAGTACATATTTTGTAAAGTTTCCTGGGCTAATTAAGGTAGGGATTCTTCCGTAAATACACCTGAAGGTTTTATATTTATACCAAGAGTAATTGGCAATTTGGTCACACCTTGTTAATTTGTGTATCTCAAACATAATGATTTGGTGAAATATTTTTTAAAATAAAGAGCATTGAGCGTGTTTAATAAATTTAAAAACTTGAATTTTCTGATTTTTTTTTATACAATTAGATGGAAAACAAGGGAACTGGTTCATTAATCATTAGTTGCTAACCTACTAATATTTCTATTTAATCAGTATTATGTTCACTAACGTCAATTCTCTTTCATCATTATAATATGAAGCAAAAATACTTATTATACAAACTAGAAACAATTATATTATCAAAGATCCCAAGGTTTTAGCAAAAAATTGTCTAATATACTCCCTAACTGGTAGTTAGATAAGCTACTCCATTATTATTATTTTTTCGCTTTGGACGAACATGCAAATTCTGAGAAGTCAGTGGGCTTTTCATAAAAGGTAACGGCAAATGAAAACGCAGCTGGAAAAAAGGCAAAAACGGCTCCTCCATCCCCGAGGACAAATTTTCAAAACCAACCCTTTTAGCATTTTATTTGCAAAAAACGACCTATTTTGAAAATAATTACAAAAACCGACCTGTTTTCAGCCCAGCGCTGAAAACAGGTCGGTTTTTGTAAAAAAAGTCTCCGAAACATCACGGGAGTTCAACTCCCGTGAAGTTTATCGAGAAATTAAACTTCACGGGAGTTGAACTCCCGTGAAGCTTAATTTTGCTTAAAACTCCACGGGAGTTCAACTCCCGTGGAGTTACAGTCGAAAATTTGCCAGAGATCGAGTCTCTGGAAATTTGGCACTGCAACTTCACGGGATTTCAACTCCCGTGAAGTTGCAGTCACAATTTGCCAGAGACTCGGTTCGCTGGAAATTTTCGACTGTAACTCCACGGGAGTTGAACTCCCGTGGAGTTTTAAGCAAAATTAAGCTTCACGGGAGTTCAACTCCCGTGAAGTTTAATTTCTCGATAAACTTCACGGGAGTTGAACTCCCGTGATGTTTCGGAGACTTTTTTACAAAAACCGACCTGTTTTCAGCGCTGGGCTGAAAACAGGTCGGTTTTTGTAATTATTTTCAAAATAGGTCGTTTTTTGCAAATAAAATGCTAAAAGAGTTGGTTTTGAAAATTTGTCCATATTTTCACCCATGGTTCGAATATTTAAGCAAAACAGAGAGATTTTGGGGCTTTTCCTATTTAGTTATCAGTGTCTCTACCCAAGTTTGGTATCACTCTCTTGAATTTTTTCCCCCCTTTAGAAATTGAATCCGGAACGTATGACGTTATTAATACAAAAAACGCTAATTCATACAACAGGACCTTATCTTTAAAAAAGAAAAATTAATGGGACCTTGGTCTATTTGAATGTGGACGTACTGTATCTTCTGCGCATCTAAGGAGAAGATTGTGTATTTACAATGCGACCGGATTTTCTTTTATTGTCCTGAAAACCTGACAGGATGCGATACCTGATCTTTTGGTAAAGAAAGTTAGCTGCTGTCATAGATCAGCTGTGGTTTCGTGGAACTGGTACAATTTTTCTGCACGTATGACGTTACAAATTAGCTTGACTTCACTAAGAATCATCATGTGGCTTGTAGACATTAGAATACTCTCATAGAGCTTCTATGGCCAGCTAGGAGCGATCCACACTCGTGGGCAAGGATGATTATCCTGTATTCACAACGCTTCATTCCTGTGGTATTCTTGTAAGTGCTATTCTTATATTTCTGCTCTCTTTGCATTTGTCACTTGTTAGGCTACCTTTTAGGCTTTGCATCACAAGTATCATGTGCGTATTAAGATCCTCTTTCTAACATAAAAAATGTATGTTGTATGCTAGTGGGTGCATACTGACTTGTTGACCAGCCGAGGCCACTTAGAAAAAAGTTAGCACCCACTATCTGTCCCAGGTTTTTCACATAATTTTCACTTTCAAAATCAAATTATTCAGCAGCTGTTGAATTGATTCTATGTATCTCTCAAACTTCATATGTCTCACTTGGTTTGTTTATAAATGCACATTATTAACAAAAATATCCTAGACCACTTAAAATGATTAAGTGAATTTCATATCTGATTTTACTTGTTTTAGAATGCTTGAAGGTTTCATCAGAGTTATACGCTAAAATCACATCATATAAATAAAACATTGAAAAAAACAATATAACTAAAAACGATATTTAAGATTTTTTCCCTGTGAGGTTATTTATGTGATTTTACTCGTTGAGCACCGGAGTCTGAAACCCAATGAATGTAAAAGCTTGAGCCTTTCAAACCGCAGTAATATTTGTTGCATTCCTGATCTGGATCGCCAGATTTGCGACCTGAGTAAGAAAGAGAAATTCTTACTAAGAGCTGAACAATTTACATAAAAAGTCTACTGTGATATAATATAACTAACAACAAAATATTAGCAGTGTCTTAATAAACTTAATGCAGTTTTTTTGACATTCTAAATTCACACCTTGAATTGTGAATGATGATTGTTTAACACATTTAGAATCGTGATTGTATTTTAAATAATTTTATCTGTTGTTTCGCATCTTCTTCAGATGCATGTCTCTGTCTCTTCTTTGTCCATATGCATACAAATAATGCACGTATAATTGCATCTCAAGATCTCATATACCGATCACTTATATATACTCTTAGCACAGCTGATCTTCATAGTAGTGCATCATGTATCTGTACCCATACCTAAAACCAAATTGTGTCACAAATCAAACAGTTTGAGGAGCTCTTGTTCAGGTCATGTAGATTAAGTAAAGATGATGAAAGAGCAAACTCAGTAAAGTAACAAAGTCCAGATATAAAATCAGTGTGAAAGTGTGCTTGAAGATTGTCAAACTTGTAACGTAATAGAATATTGACTAAAGGTAACCTATATAAAATTTCAGAAATCATTTTCACTTTCACGCAGTGCCACTACGGGTTGCTCTGTAATCCACTAATTCTATAATCCAAGTGTAGGAGAAGGATAGACATCAGCTTCAATGTCCTACGTACAGAGTGCTTGCTCCACTATCACATATATGTAAAATTAAGTATGTCAATGGATAGGCCCTATCTATATAAACACAAACCTTAGGATGCTGATATTAACACCAAGCTTAGCAAATACAAGAACAAGAAGATGTCAGCTTACGTGTGGGTTACCCTTTTGATTGTCCTCATGGACTGCTTCTTTTCAGCCCAGGCCCAAGGCAGTCTGCAAACAGATTTCTACTCCTTGTCTTGTCCCAAGGGTGAGGCCATTGTGAGATCCACTGTTGAGAAATATTTCAAAAAAGACTCCAGTATGGCTGCTGGCTTGTTGAGACTTCACTTCCATGACTGTTTTGTTCAGGTTCGTTCTATTCATTTCAGTTTGGTATTTCTATTACATGAGCTTTTTGTTCCAATATATGTTGCAACTTGTGTATTAGGGTTGTGATGGTTCGATCTTGATTTCTGGAGCTTCTGCTGAGAGGACTGCATTACCGAACATTGGGCTTAGAGGATTTGAAGTTGTAGATGATGCGAAATCTCAGTTAGAGGCAGCGTGTCCTGGGGTGGTGTCCTGTGCTGATATCCTTGCATTGGCTGCTCGCGACTCTGTGGACCTGACTGGTGGACCGAGTTGGTCGGTGCCTCTGGGAAGACGTGATGGAAGAGTTTCATCGGCATCAGATGCTACAAGCTTACCAGCACCTACTGATACTGTTTCTGTTCAGTTACGAAAGTTTTTGGACAAGGGATTGAATGAGCATGATCTTGTAACACTTGTAGGTATGTGTTCTATCTCTCTTTCTTTAAGTAGTAGTTTGTTTGTTTGGCTAATATGCATACTTGAAAGTTTTTGAAGGTGGTCATGTTATGTTTGCTTAAAAAACCCACAACTCATCCATTTAGTTTTTTCAGGTGAAAGGCTTGTGATATAATGGGATCCATGTGGTTTTAAGGGGTCCTTATTACCTTTATCATCATTTGCAATTCAGATGTGCGTGCTTAATCCATGTATATTGTGCCTGACCAAAAGGGATTTAAGATGGATTCATTTCGATGTGGCGATGCAAATTAGTCAGGTATAGGATTTGGGCACTTGAGAGTCAATTGGGATAGTTGAACATGTAGTTTAATTCTGAGCTAGTCCTACCTTGGTTTAGAATCATCTATAGAGCACCTATTCTTTAGAGCAACAACAACAAAACTTTTATCTCAAAATTTTGGGTTCAGCTGTATGAATCCTTCTAATGGGTTCTGTTGAGCGCTATGTCCACTAAGTCAAACATTATCATGTCCTTCGTAATGGTTTCTAAGGCCTACTTCTAGTCTTTTCTTTTCCATTAATTATAATCTTATCACTCATCCTAATTGGTGAGTGCCTTCATTGCACATGACTAAGCAACTACGCTTCATGACAGAACCGCCTGCATGCGATAGGCAGTTCCTAGCCACAAAATGGGGGAAAAATTACCAAACTGCCCCCTTTTTTTCACATCGTAGGTATTGAACTGCCCTCTAGCATGCGGACGGTTCTGATAGGATGTGATAGGATGTGTACTCTGACTAAACCATCTCAAATATTTTTCTCATTGTATCTTCTATGTGGGTAACCACCAATTTACTGCCCTCATTTCTTATCTTATCCGATCCCTTGAGTGTATATCCACTAGTCCACAGTGACCTTCAACCTTCTCATTTCTGCACCACTTATTTTTTGCGCTTGTATATAGCACTTGTACTTTGAAGAATGAATAATACTTAAACTGATACTTAATAGATATGTGTTAAATACTTCCTTTGACATACCCTGAAATTTAGCTTATCTAGATGTACTAAATACATGTAACCAATTCAAGAATGAAAATTTTGAAAATTGAATGTGTGCACAACATGTCAGATATCAGATACATCTTAAAAGTTTCAACTTATCCTGGGCTTGCTAAAAAGATACCAAAAACTAACCACATAAATGAACCACTTACTTAAAAAAATCATAAAATGAATTCATGCAAGTTTAAATTTAGGGGTTTTGCAATCTTAGTCCCTTAAATCGTTACCATTTTGATATTAGTCCCCTAAATCTTTATATTTTGATATTAGTCCCTCAAATTATATTTAATGTATTGATATTAGTCCCTATGTTACTGTTTCCATTCAAAGCCCTCAACTATGGTTAGGTTTAACCCAAGCATGGCAGTGTAATTACCAAAAACTCATCCCACATTAAATTCCCTAAATTAACCAGTCATTCCCTTTCCCTCTCTCATTCTCTCTTCCATTTCTCGCTCTCAACGAGCCCGAGGCCATGCTCCAGCGGGAGAATCTCAGCGAGAAAGTGACCGAGTCCATTTGTGTAGCATGAAAAGATTCGGAGGCAAGAGATCGGCTCTAATCCTTGCTTTCTTTTAATTTGATCAATAGTCATGAGAAATTCTGGCACATTTGATTGCAGATTGTCAGCTTCCTCACAAATTAGGGTTTAGGACAAAAAAGTTGTTCCTTTTGGGGAAGGAGAGGAGAATAAAGGGGAGGGGACGGAGCCGGAGAGGGATTGTAACGCCCCGCCCCGGAATCTGGGAGTCGGTACGCTACTAGATCTGATGGACTGGCCTCACAAACCACCACATGTCTTTTCAGCACGTTTTGTCCTCAATCACGCGCTCCCTAGAAAAACTTTACAGGGAGTCACCCATCCTAGAATTTCTCCAGGCCAAGCACGCTTAACTTTGGAGTTTCTAAGAGTTGGGTTCCCGAAAAGAAGATGCATCTTGGTGGTATGAGTATTCCAATCAAATCTATCAATACTAATCACATCACCCTCTCAAGGATTGGGGTATTACATACTCCCCCACTTAAATTCACAACGTCCTCGTTGTGCCAAATCATATCATCCAAGACCGTACCATCCGTGTGAGATTCTAGAGTTGGCTCCTACGGCCTTAAGAGGTGGCTCACGCCCTCTCGACGTAGCACTTTGCACCGCATAGCACTTAGCTCTCACAATTCCGGTTGGCTTTGCTCTGATACCATTTGTAACGCCTCGTCCCGGAATCCGGGAATCGGTACGCTACTAGATCTGATGGACTGGCCTCACAAACCACCACGTGTCTTTTCAGCACGTTTTGTCCTCACTCACGCGCTCCCTAGAAAAACTTCCCAGGGGGTCACCCATCCTAGAATTTCTCCAGACCAAGCACGCTTAACTTTGGAGTTTCTAAGAGTTGGGTTCCCGAAAAGAAGATGCATCTTGGTGGTATGAGTATTCCAATCAAATCTATCAATACTAATCACATCACCCTCTCAAGGGTTGGGGTATTACAGGGATTGAAGGAGACATCGAGGGAGTGGAGAGTGGGGAGGCGGGGGAGGAGAGACCATGAGACTGAGACTATGAGGTTGTGAAAGGGAAGGTGGAGGTGGTGAATTTGGGAGCAGGGAGTTGTTGTTTTGGGGAAGTTGGTGACTGAGCTGAAGGCTTGGAGGTGGGAACGAGAGAAAGAGGGAGAGAGGAGGTTGAAGATGAACATGATGATAATGAGTTTCATGTTTTCTCCCCCTATTATTGGGAGTTTTTTTTTGCAGGAAGATGGTGATGAGATAGAGGAGAAGGAATGTTAGTTGTGTTTCCTTCTTCTAATCTTTAATATCCAAGAATTGGTAATTTCTGAAGAAAAGTTAATTTCTTTTGTCTAATTTTTAATTTTAATTTTTTATATTTCTGCTTGATGCCATACTTTCTTCTATATTAGTTCTTTTGGCTACCTTTTATTATTTTAAGGGAGAAGAGCAGGTCAATGGGGTTTAGGATCTATGTTAGAGAAGAAGAAATTAGCCATGGAGGAGTTTCAATGGCTTTACTGATGGAAAGTGCCGTTGTTCACTGTAAATGGGCCTTTGGAGAAGAAAGGGTGAAACGGGTTTGGGTTCGGGTTTAAAGAGTTTATTGTGTTTAGTTTAACGGGTAAGTGGGTTTGGGTATTGGGTATGAGATGTATAGTAGGGGTATACCTGTCCTTTCTAGTGAAAAGTTAAACTTAACGGAATATTCCCAGCATTTATAATCCAAACTAACTATAGGGACTGATATCAACATGTTATTGCAATTTGAAGGATTAATACCAAAATATGAAGATTTGGGGGACTAATATCAAAATAAGTATGATTTAAGGACTAATGTCAAAATAAGTATGATTTAAGGGGATAATATCTAACAAACCCTTCAATTTATAGTTCTCTTTGATTGATAACTATTAATGTAAATAACTTGCAAAATTTTCATATATTGGAGATATTAGACATTAATACTCAATTACTCAGACATGCTTAACTGCATTTTGTTTTATCCACAACATATTGTATCCCTACTTTTTATGCTTTGCCTTGTATGTGTACCAATATCCCATATCAGGTTCAACACCTGTCGTTGTAGATACATACAATGTCTCTGTATTATATATTACTCATATCCTTGATCATACTCTACAGGAATCTCGAAGGTAGAAATTGAACTCTATGCTCCTTACAGCACAGACGCTAACAGAAAACATTGTTAGAGCTAAACAATAAACTTCACAAGTTAACTTACACATCTTAATGCAGGAACAGGATGGGTTAGGTGTGCATTTAATGGGGTTACTTCCAGTCCCTCACTTGGTTAACTAAGACTATCCATGCTCCACACAAACTTACCTCAGGTGGAATTTTTGCAGAAATGGTTCTTTGATGTAGTATTAGACAATAGGTTTCAATAAGTTCAAGGGGTCCTGATTCAAACATTGCCATTGAAGTTTTAAGTATGTCTGTTTTACCCCTACTTACATTTTTCTAAAAGATTGTGGGTATACACTTGCTGCTTGTTGTTTCATTAATAAGAATTTAACGAAACATCTGAAGTGACAACAAAATGTAAATATACAAGCATATAAAACTAGCTGAGCCATTGACGTGTCCAAAGTAAAATATAGCGAATCAGCAACAACTCTCTTCAAAAGATAGTCTAAAAGAGAACTTTATGTAATAGATCCTAACTACTGTTCCTTCACATCACACTCCTGTTCCACTTGATTCCCACTTATTATGTTATATCTATATGATGCTTGCCTGGCATACATTGTTAGGTAGAACCTACCCATCTAATCTTTCAGATGAACGGAGTACACAGAAGAGTTAACAAAACAAACCAGCAAAGCACTCTCTTTTTCTTTTTCTTCGTCAAGCCATCGTGATAACAAGTTCAGGTATATGTTTTGCATTCAGGTGCGCACACCATTGGTCAAACAGATTGCTTGTTCTTCCGATACCGTCTCTACAACTTCACAGCAACAGGCAACGCGGACCCAACCATCAGCCAATCCTTCTTGCCCCAACTCCGATCCCTCTGCCCCCAGAATGGTGATGCCTCAAGGCGTGTTGCTCTCGATGCTGGAAGCATGACGGACTTCGATGTGAGCTACTTCAAAAACGTGAGGGACGGACAGGGCGTGCTGGAGTCCGATCAGAGGCTCTGGGAGGATGCTACAACTCAAAATATTGTCCGGAATTATGCTGGGAATGTTAGAGGGTTGCTTGGCTTGAGGTTTAGCTATGATTTTCCAAAGGCTATGGTGAAGATGAGCAGCATAGGGGTGAATACTGGGAAACAAGGAGAAGTTAGAAAGATATGTTCCAAGTTTAACTGAGAAGATGCAAGTATTGAATAAGAGGTTGATTGTCAGAAATTTCAGTGTCAATGACTTGTTATAGTGAAATTAAGTTCAGCAATGGTAAGTATAACCAGTTCCGACAATTCACTATGTTTAATGATGGAGAACCATGAACCCAGAATTAATGATGATGTGAAGTCAAAGTTGACAATGATAATAACAAATGGGCATTTCGTATAGTGGTATGATTCTCACTCAGGGTGCGGGAGGTTGCGAGTTCAAATCTCGGAATCCACCCAAAAGAAAATGATTTACTTTTTGGAATACCATCTACGATATTTCTCCACAGCTGATTATGACATCTTCAATGTGGTATAAATCCATTTTAATTAAACAAATATTGAATGCTTCGTTCTTCTGAAAAATCAATGCTGGAAGTTACTGTTGCATTAATGGAGATACCATGATAACTAATCCTCTTATTATATTTTTTCTATAAGATTAACCTTTCACTAAAGGAGGCCTAGTTGCTTCCTGGTATGGTTTTAATTCTATTCTATGGCAAACACTGGTTGCATAAATAGTCCTGCAGGATTTGGCCCACACCAACTCCAGTAAATAGAAGGATAATTTGCAACAATTTCTGATGTAATCCCTCATAGCCTGATTTCATGATGCTGATAGCTTTTTAATATTACAAATTGTGCTTAGCAGGAGTGCCTCCTGGCAGACATTCGATTAGACGGGAAGATACAGAGAAGATTAGCATGGTCTTGTGCAAGGATGAAACATACAAATTGAGAACTGATCCACGTTACTTTTTTATCATACTCTGGGAGAGGCATTCTCATTTATTGCTCGAAGACCTAGCTTAGGCAAGCAGTGTCTCACAGGCCGCACTCATAGTCTTTGCTAACCAAGTAGGTGATGTTCAAACTTCAAAACTATAAATCTTATTTCTTTCCCCAATTTGGATCATAATTTGGGGGAGGGATTCTCATTAGGGTTGGTAACCGAACGAATCGAATTGAATACTGAGATGTTTGTATTTGTATTTGTTCGAATTCGAACCCGAATTCAAATATCCATGTCTGCAGTTTTTTCGATTTCAAACTCGAACACTCGGAATTTGATAAATATTCATGAATATTCACGAATATTTATCGAATGTCAAAGTATATTCATTCTGCTAAATAATTTAATTTTTAAATGGTATTTAAATTTACAAATGAAAATTATTTCTTTATAGTTATGATGTATATATATTTAATTTGAATATTTCATTAGAAAACTGATTTAAGATTCTTTAAGTTTCTCAAAATTTGTATATAGTATTTAAGTAGAAAATATAAGTAGGTTGAAAATATAAAATCATATGTGTAATGATACAAATTATAAGTGATCAAATTTTAAACGAATATTTGATAAGCAAACGAATCGAATATAGCCCTAGTTAAATTCTATTTGTTAATGAACTCGAATAGTAAATACTATTTGTTTAGTGTTAAATGAACTGCTAGATCGAATATGACTGAATAGTCAGTCGAATAATTAACGAACTATTTGTTGGTCAAAGACCTAGCTTGGGCAAGCATTGTCGCATGGGTCGCATTCGTAGTTTGAGTATGTAATGTGATTATCATATGCTAACGTTCTAAATTAAGTATTTTTTTTGCTAAGAATTTATAGCTTGATGCTGTATTACAATTCTTTATGATATCATCGCATCGATTGTGTTCTTCAAATTTAAACCTCTTTTGATGTTAAATAAGCTGTCTCCACTCTATATTTTCACCTAAATTTTTTATTTGTTGCTTAATGATTCTCTGTGTGGTTAGTGTTTTTTCCCTGATCATTTGACTTTACCTTTTTTTTAGAAAGAACACCATTGCAACAAAAAATCCCAAGTAATTGACAAATATTAACTGTGGTACATAAAAAAATGAGTGATATCCAAGTTACATGTAAAAATATTCATCCATGGTTTGGATTTTTGCGACAAGTATTGGTATTAAGATGTTCTGATTGATACAAATCTTCGTTCACATAATGTGTGCAGTTTATTTGAATCTCTACACATTGTATTTTTTCCCCCACAAATAAGAATGCCTAGATACAGATGCCTAGATACAGAGCAATGCGCCTGAGTTAAGATTTTATTTTTATGGAAATATTTCAATTGTCTCATCTATAAGATATTATTGACAAAATTTTTCGAATAACTTGAAGCTGAATACATCTACTTTATAATTAGCAATCTTTTCTCTTGAAAACTTGCATGGATACAGAAGTCTGATTGTTTTGCACATAGTATGTCACAAATTAGCATGACTTCCCTCAGGATCATTGCGTAGGTTCTTAACATTAGAATACTCTGTCGAACTTCCATGGACAGCTAGGAGTGATCATCCTTGTGGGCAAGGATGATTATGATGTATTCACCACATTTTTGATCCTATGGAATTCTTGTAGTACTATTCTTATATTTCTGCTTTCTTTGCGATTGTCACTTGTTAGATTTACCTGTTAGTTCTGCATTATAACTATCATGTTCATACTAGAATCTTCTTTCTAACAAAAAATGTACGTTGTAGTGTAGTTTATATGCTAACTTGCTGAGGCCACTTAGAAAAGTTAGCACCCACTATCTATCCCTTGTTCTGCAAAATTTTCACCTTCAAAATCAGATAATAAGGAATCATTTTCAGAATGATTCAGCTTTAAAAATGAATTCTATGTATGTCTCGAATTTTATATTTTGATCAGTTAATTTGTTTACAGATGCACATAACTAACAATGGTATCCTGGAACACTTAAAATGATAAACAAATTTTATATCTGATTTTACTTGTTTTAGAATTCATGAAGATTTCATCACAGAGTGATATGCTAAAATCACATCTAAGATGAAATAAAATAATGAAAAGGAAGTAGTATTAATAATTATCTAAAATGATATTAAAACTTTTGTTTCCAGGAAAAGTTTTAGAAGTGATCTTACTCATTGAGCGCCAGAGTCTGATGGTTGGTTTGGTGAAAGCTTGAGGGTGTTCCTATTTGACAACATTCAAACATTTTGCTCTTGGTGTTACTTCCACATAACTAAATTCTATTCCATCAAGTAAAGTAAAACCTCATAATTTTAGATAATGATGGCAATTCACTCTATCCTTCCAAATCATGATCCAGTTTGGCGCATTTCTGATAAGGATCAACGAAAATTGTTACAGAGAAATACTTGCTAATTAATATCCTGAGCAATTTTATTTTATTTATTGGTATGGAAACTTGGAGATAAGGAGTAGAAAAAAAACTTATCTCCCTTAAATCATAGTTACACTAATAGCTGTACAATTTGCAGAAAAGGTTCAACTGCAATGTAATATATAACTACTGCATAGTACTTAGCCATTTCTTAAGCATTTAGACACCTCTTACTAAACTTGATTTAGTTTTTGAGACATGCTATCATTGTTAAATTTTGTATTTTAACTGTTGACAGTTTAACACAATTAGAAATAAAATTGTATTTTAAAATATTACTTCTTGGTTTTTCTAAAAAAATAATATCTCATAATCCTCGGTTTTACATCTTCTTCAAATGCATGTGTATCTGAATAACACATGGATAATAGCATATCATGATATCAATACCCATTCAATTATGCCTATTCTTTGGATACAACTGATCTTCATAGTAGTGCATCATGCATCTGTGCCCAGTATTGAAGGTTTAAATAGATTAATTGAAGATGATCAAAAAGCAGAGTACGAAATTAGATATGAACACAATGTGAAGAGAGCCTGAAGTTTGTTAAACTTGTAATGATAGAATAAAGGTAAGCTGTATAGAATTGCAAAAAACAGTTACACTTTTATGCAGTGCCACTACTGATTGTCCATTAGTCCACTAATTTTATTACGTAAGTGCAGAAGAAGGATAAATATCTGCAATGGTTTATATGCAGAGTGCTTGCTCCATTATCATGACATAGGTAAAGAAAATGTGTCAACGGTACACACCCTATGCATATAAATACAAAGCTTAGGGCAGTAGTATTAACACTAAGCTTAGCAAGTACAAAATAAAAAAAGCTGGCAGTTTTCTTGTGGGGTTCCTTTTGTGATGGTCCTCATGAGCTTCTTCTTAGCCAATGCTCGAGTTGACCTGCGAACCAACTTCCATGCCTTGTCTTTCCCCAACCGCGAGGAAATTGTGTGATCCATTGTGGAGAAACACTTCAATGATGACTACACCATAGCAGCTGGCTTGCTGAGACTTCACTTCCATGACTGTTCTGTTCAGTTTTCTTCAGCTCAGTTTAATATTTGGGTGAATTCGGAAAAAGGGTAAACTTCACAAAAAACACCCATGAGCTTTGGAGTTTTGCAGAAAACTACTGAATGTTCGAAATTAGAGAAAACCTCCATGAAATTTGGAGCGTGCCACAAAACCTTCCCTAAATTTTCAAAATTTTCCAGTGGCACCCTCAAACAGAGTTAGTGGTCTTTTTAGATGACAAAAAGAGAATTTTCTAACAAAGGCTATTTTTTGAAAAATAATAAGCAAAACCGACCCTTTTATGAAAATATTAGCAAAATTGATTTTTTTGGCCAAGTGGCCAAAAAGTGGTCGATTTTGCCAAATATTAACTTTAAAATACACGGGACTAGTAGTCCGGTGTTATTAGTGTTCCCTAGTTACGGTTAATCTGAAATGATTGTCTCATGTACTTTATGCTGAAATGCTTAAGGTTTAATTAATGAGAACTAAATACACGGGACTACTAGTTCGTAATTTAAAGCTGAATTTTTGCAAAATCGACTTCTTTTTAAAATCGATGTTGTTTTTGCTAATAATTTTACAAAATGATCGATTTTGCTAATTATTTTTGAAAAAGGGTCTTAAAAAAATTCTCCATGACAAAAATATTATGTTAAGATTAAAACCTAGTTATTAAATTAACTTAACTTCTAATTAACCCCGAATTAAATTAACTTCTAAATAGAGAGCAAGAAAGGGAGATGGGAGGCTGAGAAACCAGAGGTGGAGGTGGCCGGTGGTGGTGGTTGGGGCTTTGGTTAGGGGGAGGTGGGAGATAGAGATAGAGATAGGGAGAGAGGGACTCTTTAACTTTATTGGGGATGGGACTTGGTCTCTGTTGCCAGAAGCAAGGATAAAGGGGGGAGGCGACTTGGTCGTCGACAATGAGAGTGGTCAAGATGGTTGAGCTAGGA